TTTCCCATATATCTTAGATTTCATGGAATTTGAAGGATTGTAGTATATTCCATTCTGTAATGTTTTCATAACCTTCTTGCCACTGTGTATACAGGTGAGTGTCTGAATAGAGATTTTGCCAATGAAAGAAACTATGAATTGCCACCATAGATCTAAACCAGTTCACAGAAGAATAACTTTGCATTTGTTTACCTTTCTAAAAAGATTATTTTCCAACTGCTGGAAGTTTATTTTTTTATAGAGCAAATGTAATGAAAAAGAGTGAATATTTGGGGGGTATATATATTTAGCCTCTTAAAACTCATATTACAAGATCCAGAAAAGATAGCATGTGTGTATAATGACTGCAATTGAAATAATCAACAAATACAATAGGAAAAAGGCCAGTCCCTGTAGCTTCATGTCTACTGTTTTACACTGTGTTGAATGGCTAAATGGTTCATGACAAAAGATTTTCTAATGCCAAGCCGACCAAAAAATATGGCTTTTCTCCTGGCACTTCAAGGAGATTATGGTCTATTTATCACATATTTTTTTCATGAATATTGACTTTATGAATTTAATATGCATTCATTTACCTGTTTTATTATGCACATATGTAGGAGTATTTTAGAACTGCAGGATTTTTCTAGAAAGTTAGGCTTACATTGCTGAAAGAACAAAATAGTTTTCACATTCTGATATTCTTTTATTTATTCAACAGCTATGTGTCCAGAGGTTCCATTTTTAAAATTTACAGTTTACCTGAATTCTTTACCTTAACCATCATATGTGCTGATGGTTCAAGACAGCTGTCTTACATCTTTATATAGAGGGAAAAAAGGCATAGCAAATTCTCACCCTTTTAAAAGTAAAAGTAGGTGTTGGATCCTTTATGTTATTACTCAATTTAAACAATGATCCTCCAAAATAAAAAAGAGATCTTGAGGGACTTCAATAATATTTAACTACAGAAGCTATTTTTATTAACCACATGTAGAAAGTAGCATTTCTCCTAGCATTATTTTATAAATATTCCGTTTCTTACCAATATTATTATAATTACTATTAATATTTAAAATAGTGTAATTTATTAGCAATAATAATAATTCTCAAACATGATGAGTACATAAAGGAATTATCAAATTGAGAATCAGTCCAAAACTAGAGAAGAATTTCAACTAAATATGCAAGAAAACCATAATAAGAAATACTAGAAAACAGATTCATATGCTACTTGATATTTGAGATGACTCCCCCAATTTGCAAAAGGAAAAAATGAGAAATATCAAAAGTAAAAAAGCTATGACCTTAACAACTGGAGAGTTGGATGTATACATTAGCTGAACATTTTAAAAGCTGAAGTTCCATCACATTTAAGTGGAAAATCAGAAGGTGGTGCAAATTCACATTGCATCATCAGAAGGTCTTTTAACAGCACAGAAATGGTAAGTCGATTTTACTAAAAAGTAATTTCTTGTGCCTTTTCTATTCCCATCTTTGGTTTATTTTGGTTGGTATGAGAAAAAAAAAAAAGGAAGATTAAAGTGAGGTAAGAGAAAAAAAAGTCGTGGAGCCTTGAACAAGATAGAATTTTGGGAGAAAAAAAGCCATGTCCTTTTACTAATGGAACATCCAAGGTCCAATCAGAAATATAACCAGTTTTAGCTTGTATGAATGGGACCATGGACAGGGGTGACTAATACAAATGAAAGCAACCAAATTAGGTAAGTTCAAAACATTTTTCCACCACTATTGTTTAAAGAACTTTTTTCCCCCAGTGAAGGTATACTAAAGAGTTTTCTTTAGTGGATGATTTTTTAAAGTGTGCATTGCTATGAAAGCTAAGCAATTCTGAAATTTTCATGAAATTGAAGAAGCAAGAGATTTTTAGGTCAAGAATTAATACTTCATTATGAAATTTCACCCTCTTTTGTTTTGGTTTCAGAAAAGATTCCACAGAAAACAAACAGCTAAGGTTGCCCAGAGGGAGAACTAAGGCTCCGTGTTCCAAAGTGGGTAGTGAATCGAAAATCCTGGAAAGTATCATGAAGCTAGAGAAAAGGTATTGATTTAATGAACGCATGTACATGATGATTGACAAGTTAGCATGCAGGTTCACTGCCCAATATTTATGGGAAGGAGTGGGGAGAAGGGGATTCTGGCAGCTTGTGCCTACTATTTCTGTAATGTCCAAAACAACCTTAGCAAAGGAGTGAGCAAGGACTGGGTCTGCATTAGGAAACATTCTCTGGGTTCGTGAGGCTTGCTTTGAACTCTTTTTCACCACTATGTGTCAGCTTGTCTTTGTGTTGGTGGAAGGAAAAGGAAAAAGAAAAACATAAGACTGGCCTTTCGGTTCTAAATCAAAGCTCTATGCTGCTGATTGTTGGTGTGGCTTTTCAAAGGCAAAGCGAGTGGGGGACATTAAAATTCCTTGTTTCTATGGACCAGGAGCTGAGATGCTTTTTAGTTTTTTGGTTTGGGTTTTATTATTATTATTATTATTATTATTATTGTTATTATTATTCTAAGTAGCAAGAAGAGGATTTTTCAATGTATCTTACATTTACCTTAAAATATCCCTAATATTTATTTTTCAATTTGATTGGCACTTTGACAGGAAAAAGCAAGGTGAGAAAACTCTTTAAAAGGGAATCTAAACAGAGTGTGAGGAGGTTTCCCTTGTCACGTGATTTAAGAACCAGAGGGACTATTGCCCCTAACACAGTTTCTTGATAGTGACCCCAAGGTTCAAAGACATTAGATCAGTCGCCCAAGACTCCCACTCAGAAAGTCATGACAGGACCCTCCTTGGATTTTCACTCTGTCCTCTTTATACTGCCCTATGCTGCCTCTAGCGTTAGATCAGGAAACTTTAAGGAATATTGAGGACAGGAGAATAGAAGAAAGCTGGAGAGGGTCAAAGGTACTTAAGTGATTTACCTAAGTCAAGATGCTTGAACCTTTGCCTGGACAAGAAGAGGCAGCCTGCTCGTGCCAGGCAGTGAACGCACAGAGCAATAGCTAGCGCTGAATACCTCTGATGCTCATTTTCAACATTGGAAGATCAGCCTAGGGGAAGAAAGCTAATCGCTTCCCTCTTGCCCTCCACACCTTCTACTGGGATTCAAGTAACTGTCCCTCAAACATCTTTGTGGGCTTGTTCTCTGTAACACACGTCCTCACCTGTGTCTTAGGTGCCTCTTTAAATTCTCCGTCCCCTCACAATTCGCAAATCATTATCCTGGGCATTCGTAAGCTGTAAACTTTGCCACTTTGGCACCTCAGGTGGACAGGAAAGATCTCTAGATTCCTTATTTCAGCGAAAGTCCAGAGGACCGTTCCTGCCACTACCCCAACGCCTTACACCAACCCCCGCCCCCGCCCCCACACATACCCACTATTTATACACGCTAGGAAGACCCTCAGAGATCATTTATGGAGAAGAAGGGGTGCATTTTTGTGGCTGCTGGTGCACAGTTACCAAAAATCCTGGAAAGGCGGGCGCGGGACCGCATCCGTGCCTGTGCCGAGGCGCAGAGCGGGAACAGTCTGCACGTGTCCGCTGCCGCCCGGCCCCGAGACGGCTGGCACGATCGCCAACCGGGAATCGGTTGGTGCCGAGGGTGGGCAAAGGCAACACGACCCGGTGGAGGGCGGCGCGGAGGGTGGCGCTGGCGGCATGAAAGGCGTCTTTGTGCGGGACTTGGGGTGAGGAGGCGGTGAGAATGGCGAGAGCTGAGCCCGGACCTGGAGGCTGGGGCTCGGGGACGCCGCCACCCGCCACTCCTCAGCCGCGCTGGAAAGATCCGGATAGTGCCGGCAGGGGGCGGTGTGGCGCCGGAGGGGGTGAGGTGAGGGCCCCTGTGTTTGGTCTTCTTTGAGACCTGAGGGGAGAGAGAGACGCTTGGAGAAAGCGGGACGGAATTGAGAGATTTGTCTCCCCGCCCCCTCCCCTAGGTGGCGGAGAGATCGCGCTGGCTGGAAGAGTGCAGCCCCTCTCCGGGAGCTCACTCCGCAGTCTAGGAGGAGAGAGAGCGGCCCCCGAGGCGGAGCCTCCCTCCTGCCCCCGGGTATCGCTGCCCCCACCTGGGGGGGGGGGGGGGGGGGGGGGGGGGGAGAGGCGGGCGCCGCGCTGCCCTCCCTCTGCGCCCCCGCCGCGTGGCTTGCGGCTTATTTTCCCAGCTGGCAAGCGTCGCGCTGCAGACAAGGGAATGCCTGTGGTGAGTTGTTTATTTTGTCGAAGTTTGCGGTGGGCCAGGGGGACGTGGGGGGCGAGCGGCAGGCAGCAGCCGGGACTATTTTGTTTAGGTCTTGCTCCACCTGTGTGGTATAAATCTGCCAGCCTCAGGGCGGCAGGGGGCCAGGGTGAGAAAACCCCAGGGCTCCAAAAGGCCTCTTTTTGCCACTTGCAGACCCAGAGCTACATTTGATTTTCCACTCCTGGAATCGGCTAGATCCTAGCTTACACTACGCCCCATACCTCTAATCACTGCTTCACGTACCCGCTGCGGACAGGGCTTGCGCTGTAAAGGACGGTCAGCGCCCATGGCCCAGGGACAGCTGGCCGTAGAAGTTCTTCCCGGGTACCCTTCCCCATTTCTTGAGGATAGGAGAGCTGTTTGATAGGAGGGGCGCTCTTCAAACTAGTGGGAACTTGTTTGGGCTACTTATGGCACGAAGTCCGTTCAGGCGTGTCGGGTCTACTAGTACCGCAAACAGATCCAGGTTGGCCAGAGTTTCCCAGACTTGAGGCTGGGGGTCGGTAAGCGCTTGGCTCCCAGGGGAGCCCAGAGGAATCCCCCAGGGCTGATGATGACAGTCACCACCGCGGCTGCGTTTGCCTGGAAGAAAAGCCTAAATACATTAGCGAGCTGGTAAAGCTTTTAAGGCCTTCTCCGGAGTGAGTGGCTGGCTAATGAGAGGTTAATTTTGTTTGGAAGGGAAGGCTGCGCTGGTTTCCTGAGATAAATGGACAGGAAGCGCATTACCTCCGCGCGCTGGCAAGCGGCTACCAAATGCTTTTTGCACCTGCCGCTTTGAGCGGTGCGATCCGCTGCAGAGCCCGCAGGGATCGTGGGGGCCGGTTGTGTACGCTCGGGTGATGAGCCCCACTCAGGCCCCGGGCCCTCTCCTTCCGGGGGCGCAACGCTCACGCCAGGCTCTGGGGTCTTCTCTCACACCCAGGTCCTGCGTGCTCAGGAGCTCAGGGGCCCCCTGATCCCGCCAAGCCCCCTCCAGGAGCGGAAGGGTTAAGAATGATGTAAGTACAATCCACTAGCTGCTTTCTGCTGGGCTGTGGGACTCAGGGCTATTTTCGCCCCAGCTTTGCGTCCACCCTGGACTGGGGAGCAGCGAGGGGGCCTTTAGTCTAGAATGGGTTGAACAAATCGCTACCCTGGTAGCTCCTCTGTCCTAGGTAATCTGTTAAGCAGAGAGACCCTCATGTTAGATTTATGGAAATGGAGATATATTAATGGGAATAGTTAAGACATCATGTATGGGTTCAGGAAAATAAACCTGTAATTCTTATTTAGAACCCATTAATGTTGCTGGCATGTGTTTTAATTCTATCCATTCGCACGTTCATACCATGGGATGTTTTGCTGTGACCCCTAATTGTGCTGTTCTGGTCTCATCTTTTCTTCCTGAAAAAGATGAAGGGAGAAAGACTAGAGATGGCAAGGAATAGGGTGCGTTTGTGAGTTGTGCGAGCTGTCACTTCACGATTTTTTTTCCTGATTAAAATGTAAAACTTTTATAAGTCATTGATTTTACGGGGGGGGGGGGGGGATAACCAGATTTTTCTTTGTGTAATCTTAAAATTCTCCTAACTTGCAGCATTCGAGCTGGAGGAGTGGATGCGCTATAAGCGACCATTCACCACGCTCTTACTTTCCAAGCCAATTAGGGGGATCTTGCTAACCAGTCCTAATTAACCCTGCGAGTGTGTCAACTGACCTTAAGTCTTGAAAACAGGAACCACCTTGCGGTTTAATTGTGAAAATTAACATTTTACTCTAGCCGGCTGAACACTTATGTGGTAATAAAAAATGAATTGTTAGGCGTATAAATCTTGAGCTTGTCAAATTTTACAACAGATGAGCAATAAAGCACCTTAGAAAAAAAGAAGTTTTCCCTCTAAAGAACAGTTCCATTCCGATGCCGAATTTGTGGTGACTCGAGGACGCCCTCTGTTGATAAGATAGTTTAGAGCAGTGTGTGTCTAAGGAACAGGATATGGAGGTGGGGAAAGTGGAGGCTGGGGGCAGGGTGGAATCATAGCAAGTAATGACAGCGAAAAGACCCCAACTAAACTGAATTTGATCCCTAAATTTTGGTTATGTGTTCTGAAGTATGGTGAATAAATTGCCATGCTTTTTTCATAAGGGTCAAATTAAATCTTGGGTTAAGGAAAAAGAACCATCTTACTGTTAGTAGTCTTTGTTGGCAACATACTTTGCAAAGCTGTTCACATTTGATTACTTTAAAAAAAAAAGATGTTGACCAGTATTTCATTAACTTTAGTTCTTTGATTTATGTAGTAATTGCAAGGGAGTAAAATTTTAGTCCCATAGTATTTACTCCATAATATTATCTAAAAATCGTATCAGATAACTCCTCCTGCAAAAAAAGTCATTTCTCCAGGCCACTCTGAAGCTATTATTAAGCATATTATGGATATACACAAGGCTTGGATTATATCTTGGGCAGTGAAAGGTGTGTTTACCACTTGAGTCATCATAGTATGTAATAAGTAAGTAATGAAAAGTTACAGTAAAAATAGATAGGCATTCTTCTTTAGGGACCTAGTGGTTTGTACAGTTCATAATGTGTCTAATGAGTAAGCCGGAGTGATATAAGGTTTGCCCTCAATTATCCTAGTCCATTGATTAGCACATTGTAACATGTGGAATATTAACGTGTCCGTGGTTGATACGAAATTACCAATTAGAGATTATGAGTAGCGAGCGGGTAGAATTGCAAGCTACAATTTGACTATAAGTGAATTTAAAATGGCAGCCCTGAGCCCTTTGGAGGAAAGGCAAAGGCAAGGGCAGTCGAAGTAACTCCGAGCCTTTGAAGCCATCTTTTAGATTAGATACCACTTCACACCTACTGATACCAGATTGGAACCTATCATCAACCTCACAACATGCTTTCCTGTGTCTCCACTTGCCAACCTCTTTTGTGGCACACAGTTGGGGTTTCTTCCTCATTTTTGGATCCATCCAAGTGGCAAAAGTAGAAACCGATCTGCCATTAAATTAATATACTAAGACCACGAAAATTTGTGGAAAAGCCACCGAGCAACAAGAAATTATAGCATAATTACTCTACACTGCATTAAAAACTCACTATCCTCATTAATCTAATTACACTGTAACAGAACACGTTGAAGTTCGCCCACTCTCAGACTCCTCCCCGCTGCTTTCAGGAAGGGAAATGTCAGAGGAACAATAACGCCAGAGCCTCGAACAGCTGCTAGCGAATTCCACCGGGAGCTGGTGGGTACCTTCCCAGCCCATCCGATCTGTTCCGGACCGCAAGTTACAATCGGATTTCCAACGCGGTGGGGTGATAGTTTTACCAAACGTCCGGAAAGGGCTCGGAACACGGTTCCGCAGAGGCGATTGGCTGCGAAGAGACCTGCCGCCAGGCGCCTGGTAAAAGCGCCCACTTCCTCTCAGGAGCAGGAGCTGGAGCGGGAGTGACAGAGTGGGGGTGACTTAAAACACATACGCACACAACACCTTAAAGGGAAGCCGAACCCAATCACATTAATTAAAAGGGAAGTCAAAGGCCGCTTCCTTTGTAACGCCGGCAAGAGCGAGTAGCCGTTGCCAATTTCTGTAGGACAGGAGGAAACAGTAAATCGCGGAAAGGGGTTAAGGGAATAGAAGAGGAGGGAGCGCGAAGGAGGTTGGGCCCGGGCGCGACGGACAGGACTCTCAACAGGCGGACGCGGAACTCAAATTACAATGAGCAATCTGAGGGTGGGAGCAGGAGCAGGGGCGGGCGCTTTGTCCCCTGCGAGTGGCCAGCTGAGCCCAGTGGACCAGCGCTTGCAGCCAATGGGGTGAGAGGGAGGGGCTAGGTCGGGGGTGGAGACGACGCGGATTGGCGTGCGTGAGGAGGGCGGGGCGGCAGTGCAAGGCTGAGATTGATTGACCGCGGGGTCGCGGCACAGAGATATCCGGGCTGCAGGCGGCTGCTCGCTAGGGCTGGGCGCGCCTCCAGTGGGTCCACGCCCGCTGAACCCACGCTGGCCGGGACCAGGGCGCCCGCGCTTTGGGGGCCGGGCTCGGCACTAAGCTCACCGTCTTTGTGTCTTTTCTCCCGCCCCCTCTGCCCCGCCTGCTGCCGCGATGCCGCTGCGCCCCGTTGCCGCCGCCGCCGCCGCCTCGCTCCGCCCGCGGCGCGCTTTTCGCTGCGGCGGTGGCGGCGGCCCGTATCCGACGCGGGCCTGAAGGAGGAAGAAGAGAAAGCGAGGCACGTCCCCCGGTCCATGCCGCAGCCACGGCCCCGAACCCGCCACGGCGCCCGTGCCGCCGCCCTCGCCGGAGCCCACGAGACCTGCATGGACGGGCATGGGCTTGAGAGCAGCACCTTCCTGCGCCGCCGCCGCCTCCGCCGCTGCCGCCGGGGCTGAGCAGCGCCACCGCCCCCAGCTCTCCCCGCCGCCCCTGGCGTTGCTGCTGCTGCTGCTGCTCAGCCTCGGGCTGCTCCACGCAGGTATGAGGCGCGCGCGCGCGAGGGTAACCAGCTGCAGGTCCAAGTGCTTTGTTCCCAAACACTCCGGCTCCCGAAGGCACACGTTGGGGCAGAAGGGCGGCGTGGCGTGGTGAGACGGTAGAGGCCTCATGGGCTCCAGCCCTGCACCTCTGCCGGGCTCACGGCGCAGCGGCAGGAACGCACCCGCAGGTCGTGCGGCGCGCCCAGGGCGCAGAGGAGAGGCCTCCTCCCCCTCCCTCTCGCGTTTCCCCGCCTTCGGCTCGGACCGTTGATAAATGTTCCCAACAGTCGCTTATCGAAGATTTAGCGGGTGGGGGTGGTGGGGGCTGCGCCCCCGAGACAAACGTTCCGGATGCTTTATTGCTCGCTGCATTGGTGTTTACTGAAAGTCAGGCTGGGATCAGGTTTCCACCGCCGCCGCCCCCTTCGAAGCGAGACAAGGAGCCTTGTGCTGCTTCTCTGGAGTTGGGGGTGGCGACAAGGGGAAGAAATCGCACCAGATGTAAAGATTTTCACCGGAATTTGAAAACCTGGGGGGTTAATCTCGAAGTAACTTAAACGTCTTTAAACAGGGATTTCTTCGTATTTGCCAAAACTGCTTTTAGTTCAGCTTTCAACCTCTGTGGAAAAACTGGTGCTTTGTGGTTAAGCCGCGTGTTTTCGGGTTCCCGGAGGGGTTGACACATCTCCCTGCTTTCTGGAGGTCGGCGCTTCCCCTGTGGAAGCGGAGTGAGTTCTCTGTCCTTAGCCAGGTAGACCTACAGATGAGCCTTCTAGCAGGTGATAGTTATTTTTGTTGTGAAATAAGTTTCACTAATACAGTGTTACGTCGTTTGTATCTCAAGGGAGGGGGTATCTAGGATGCTCTTTATAAATAAGTGCTACGTCTAGGAGTTTGTCTAAAAAATTTCTTTAGTGCCAAATTGAAGCTAAATTCTCTTAATTTGAGAACTAGAGCATTAGATAAGTTTTCCTTTGAGATCTTTTTGTCCTGTATTTTATGACAGCAGTCTCAACGCTGTGATCTGGAGAATCGTGAACTGTAATGCCACCCAACTGTGTGGAGTAGTATTTATTTATTAAGTCATACCAGCCTTTCTAAAAATCTGGGAGGTCTTTTAAGTAATGGGAAAAAAAATGTGGCATTTGAGGAGACTTAATTTACTTTTGGTAACTTTGCATTGTGATGGAACAGCTGCATTTTAACACTCACTTGGGGAAACATAGAGTGTAATAGTAAGTTTTACAATGATTAAGGCTTTAAACGACTGACTTTAGAACCTTAGAAAATAATGTCAATCTGCTTATGGTTCCAAGAAAATTTTCATGATGTGTCAAAAGTTACATTCATAAGTGTTTTGTGTGAAGAATACATGTTCATAATGTCAAAGAGTAGGTTTCTTGAAATGGAAATTGAAGTACTGGATAGGACTGTGTGTCCCTCTTGACTGCTTGGAATATTGTTTCCCTTAGTTGCCAGAGAGTTCTATTACAGAACTGGAATGTGGTCCTTGAAGATTTTTCTGGCCAATAATGAAAGCCCTAAGAAGTTGTTTTAATGTTTTTGAAAATTAAGTTGCCTTATTTCAAAAACTTGGAATGTGAAACTCCTCTCAGTATCTTAATGTGCCCTCACTTAAAGTCACTGTTATATTCTACCTAGAGTTTCTGTGGTGAGTGATATCTCTGGACAACTTGTTGGGGTTGGGTGATTAATTTGGTTATCGAAGAAAGGGCTCCTTTTGAAAGATAGCTTTGAAGCATTTTTCTCTTGATCATACAAGGATTGTTTCTCAGAGAAGGGAGCCTAGCCGAGTGCTCTTTGCAGATGGGCTACCATATGTTTTATGCCTGGATCCATATAATTTGCCACAGCACCCCATATGTCCCTGCATTTTACTTAATTCAGCTTCAGCATATCTTATTTCTTTTATTATAAACTGGTGATTGTGTGGCAAGTTCACACGTGCAGTCCTGGCATCAAGGAAATGGGTCTTGAATGGTGAAGTCTTTGAATCATTAACCAGAGCTCTAGACCCACAAATCCTTTAGCACTTTCATTAACTGGAATGAAAATAGTACCACACCAATCATAGATGACCTGACTCCAAAAATGAAGAGATCTGTAACTGCAGGTTTTGATTTCTGCCCTTAGGAAATGAAAAAAGAACTTTTATACTTTGCTCCCTACCTCCCCCCCATCCCCCACTTTTAGCAAATCTCTACAATTCCTGAATGGAGATCCAATATGGGAGTTACTTGCTTACTCATACACTTCATGGCCTTGTTGGCTACATCCTTGAGATTGTTTCTGCTCTGCATTTTCTTGGCATTTTGACAGGAAGCTTACTTTACCTCCTATAACAGGCAAAGTGTGCACTGTCATTATAAATTCATGAAGCCTGGATATTTCTGGGTGTATGCTGCAAATTAGTCATTATACGGGAGCCTGCAGTGGGGCTGAAACTGCTGACCCAGATGCACTCTCTATTTAGCCCTCCTCTTTCCCATCATCTCTATTTGAAAGGCTGTTAGAAACCTCATCCCAAACAAAAGAACCCAAGGAGTTCTGTTTTATGTGTCATTTCTCAAAAGAATCAGCACCTGCCTGCTATAAAAAAGGGAAGGGGGGGGGCGGGCGGCCTGGGGGAGGAAGGAAAAAGGAGGTGGGAATCTAAATTCTTTTCTGAACAGTTGCATTTGCATTTCATGCTCTTACTTCGGAATATTTTATGACTATTTGAAATAATTATAAGTAAATGTATGCTCGGATAGATTTTATAGACCATAAAAAGAACAAATAGGCACTGGAAGTTTAGCGGAAAGTTCTTGTGCTGTCATTTACATTGTAGTCCAGGAGCTCTTCATTATTGAGTGATCTTGGTCCAGCTTTCATTTCCTTGCTTTCTGCTTGCTATGACTCTGATTTAAAAAGAAAAACATAATTGATACAGTAGTTGCTTAAGTCTTTAAGCCATCAGCTACTGTTGTGTGAGACTCAGGAATGTGGAGGAGATGTGATATGAGGAAGGAAAACGGGATTTGAGGAAAGGCATTGCGCCCTGGGCTTTGCTCTACCCATTTGTGATCCAGCCAGGACAAGGCCTGTAGTTTCCCTTTGTCCTGAATTTCCTAACTGTAAAATGGCTTTAATGCTTTTGGGGTTGATTGGGTTTTTTTGAGTAAAAACGGTTGAAAATGACTTGACTTGATCTACTTTGGAGAGAGGAAATGTATAAATACAGGAGCTGCTTTTTATCAACTCTGGAATGAGTAAACATGAAATATGCCAAACACATGAAGGTGTGCTTGTGATTTTTTTTTTTTTTTTGAGTGTGATTTAGTGATAGCTGTTAAGTCCATACCTCCAAAGTGTTAAAATACTGGGTTTTTTTGTTTTTTGTTTTTTTTTAATTCAGGTTAAAGTAAATGCCCTATCTAGACTACATTTTTCTCTTCTTGGTCTTTGAAATTTAACAACGGTGGGGAGGTGGCTTGAGAGGTTGTCATCTTGCAGTCTTTTCTGCTGAATTCAAGCTAGAAACAGGTTACAGGCTGTTTCATTCAGGCTTAAAAGTACTTTAATACTGAAAAGATTAAAGTATCTTTCTGGAATGTCACTAGGGTTAGTTTTAAGTCTTCATCAGATGAAGTCCTAAATCTTGATAGTATCCTGAAGTTTGTGTCCACATCTTAAAATAATTATATACTTAATGATACTCTTTCCCCCCACACACACACATCTAGAATAGGAATTGTAAAATATTTTATGCCTGTAAAAGATCATGAAGTTCTTTTTAGAACAGTCTCCTCATTTCTCAGCTGAAGTACCTAAGACTTGAAAGGATTGAAACTTCCTCCAGTGCAACGACCTAAAAAGAATGTGGAAGTAACACAAAATATGTCTTAGTTAGTTTCTATAAAACTTGAGGTGGATGATTAAGAAAAGTACTTTCCTTTTCAGTAATTCTAGAGCTCCCACTTTAAGGACCAGAATATTAAACTGTTTGGCACATACAACTGACCTAGTATTGGCAATTCTTACATATTTTTATGCTTTGAGAGGTTTTTATTTTTTTATATGAGAAGCTAGTGGCAAAACATCATTTGAAAACTGTGAAATAGTAGGGCAGTAGTAGGTGGTTTTTCATTACTTCATTTTAACTTTGCTTAAATCATTAGGTATATTGGAACTGTCGACCTAAGGAAAAAAGTCATTTATATATGTTCTAAGAATTCTGTGTGCTATGTTTCCTTGGTTCTGATAAAACACAGTTGGTGCAGTCATCTGCCTGTGCAGCATGATTTCAGTGTGGTGTCCTTTTTGATTCAGTGTACCCTTCCTGATGAGCTGCTTGGGATCTGGGATCCAGTGGTGACGGGTGTTAAGGGAGAAGTAAATCTGCAGCTTGGTTAAACGATCAACTTTATTTATTTATTTATTTTAACATTTATTCATTTTTGAGAGACAGAGACAGCACAAGTGGGGGAGGAGCAGAGAAGAAAGGGAGACACAGAATCCAAAGCAGGCTCCAGGCTCTGAGCTGTCAGCACAGAACCCGATGCAGGGCTCAAACTCAGGGGCTAGAACTCCCTGACCGTGAGATCATGACCTGAGCCAAAGTCGAATGCTCAACTGACTGAGTCACTCTGGTGCCCCTTGACTTTATTTTTTTAAGAGAACATTTACACTTTGTAGCATCCAGGAGATTGTAGGTTTATATACAGTTTGTCAATAAACATCCTTAAGGAAATGCAGAATAACTTAGTACCTGGATTTTCTCTTGATATTCTTACCCTGTAGCTGTACTAGAATCAAGTAAAGGTGTTTTAACTAATGCTATAAATTTAGGGATCCCTACCTAAGGTGTGGAACCTTAATCATGGTTTTGTGCTTTCCAAAGCGAATGAGTTATACACTTAGCAAAGTCAAAACAAAGTTCACATCTTTAACTTGGCCTTAGAGCAGAGGAATCTTTCTCAAAATCTATAAACAATAGCAAAGTGATCAAATACTCCGTTTAACTTTAACATGAGAATACTGGGCTCAGACTCCTGTTCCCTCATAGTGGTTCATGATTTAAAGTTTTAAGGTAACTGATTGCGTGCAGTTTTTCTCCCAGTGGCTTAATTTGTGAGGGAAAAAGAAGCACAATGCAACCCTAGTTCTGAAGGCTTTCTTAAAATAGGAGTGTATGGAATAGAACAAACTGTTCCCAAAGGACAGTGTCATTTTCTCATGTGGCTCAGGAAGTTATGAAGCGTTTAAAAAACGTTTGGTGTTATCTTTTTTCTCATAGGTGACTGCCAACAGCCGGCCCAATGTCGAATCCAGAAATGTACCACGGACTTTGTGTCCCTCACTTCACACCTGAACTCTGCCATTGACGGCTTTGACTCTGAGTTTTGCAAGGCCCTGCGTGCCTATGCTGGCTGCACCCAGCGAACTTCAAAAGCCTGCCGTGGTAACCTGGTGTACCATTCTGCTGTGTTGGGTATCAGTGACCTCATGAGCCAGAGGAACTGTTCTAAGGATGGACCCACATCCTCTACCAACCCCGAAGTGACCCATGACCCTTGTAACTATCACAGCCATGCAGGAGCCAGAGAACACAGGGGAGGGGACCTGAGCCCTCCCAGTTACCTTTTTTGTGGCTTGTTCGGAGATCCTCACCTTAGAACTTTCAAGGATCACTTTCAGACATGCAAAGTGGAAGGAGCCTGGCCACTCATAGATAATAATTATCTTTCAGTTCAAGTGACGAATGTGCCCGTGGTCCCTGGATCCAGTGCTACTGCTACAAATAAGGCAAGTATACGTTTTTCTTATAACTTGCAGATGTTTGATTCTTCAGACAATTTTTGAAGTATGATACAAAAGACAGTTTAAAAGGAACTTTTTCTTGTTCTTGGCATGCAATTAACAAGGTGAATGAAAGATTAAATGAAAATCATTTAGTAAAGAATTTCTCTGGAATTCTAGGCTTATGTAAAATGTGGGTCTTAGTACAACTAAGCAGTGATATGCAAAAAACAAAACAAAAACAAAAAACACCGAAGTTGAGTTCTCTATGGAAAAGGCAGGCCTGTTTAATGGGAAAATGTATACTTTTTTTTTTTTTCTGTGAAGTCTTTTGAGTGTGACTCTTGTTGAAGAAATCCATGTTCCTATTTATCAGATGACCAAAGTGGGTGTTCCAAGTAAAGAAAGCTATCAAACCTGGGGCAATAACCCATCGGGAAACATATTTTATTGGAAATTTGGAAGCTATAGTAAAATGTAATGGCTATAAGCCAGCTTCCCAGTGGCAAAGCCACAATTGTGTTTTAGTTATTAATGTTGCTGTGACCAAGGAATTTTAGAATTGGCTATTGTGGAGCAGTGATGTATAATCCCTGTTGTAATCTCAGGATAACATTTTAATTAAGCTGAGGGGAAAACTGACAAAATTAAGTTAAGCTTACCCTGCGTAGCTGCCCTTGTCTGCATTTGTGTGTGTGTGTGTGTACTTGCGTTAAAGAAGCTAATGCCAAATAGAGATCATTTGAACCAACTTTAAGGCACCACTGTCAGTGCAACTAGGTGAAGGGCTATGAACTGGATTCCCAGTTGGCAGTCAGTGCTAATTCAGGCATTAGTAAGTAAATACAGAGGTCAAAAAAGGTTTTCCAGAAAAAAAGACTGTCCCAAATAACCAGCTCCTTCCCTGTCTCTCCCAACTAGAAAATCACACATACAGGCTATCTCCTCTTGTTCATTTTCCTTTATCTGTTCATCAGTTGGTTTGGACTGAAAGATAGTTGACAAGGATCAAGCTTTTGTAATAGTTATGACGGCTCTTTTGATTCCAGGACACCCTCCCTTGCCTCTAAACACATGTGGCATATTTTTAAGTGAATTTAAATGATTTTACTTGGCATTTTGTGGAGGTAATTTTACAACCCCTCCAGAGATAGCTGGAGACACCCAGGGGTGTCACAAATCTAAGATTAGAAGTCATTGCTCTGAACAAAGAAGTCTGTTACATTAGTCCAGACATTTTAGGTGGACTCAAAAATGTTTATGCTTTAACTCCCAATAAAAGCCCAGGCTTGCCTTTCCAAATCCTGCATCTCAAGTAAACTTTACCTCCTCTGGTTTTTATAAGCATGCAAATAATTTTTCTTGTCTATATATTAAAATAAGTATCAGCTGTAAGTTATGGTAGACAGGTACACAATTATGGACTTATAACACAAATCATGGCCAAAAATCCATCATTGCTGCAGAGTCATAGTGCATAAAACCTGGGGATAGTCTTTGGGAAAATACGAGACTAAAGATTCAAGAAGGCAGTTCCACTGGGAATGGAGAGAGTCATTGATCGTGTAGATAATTGAGGGTTTAGAGGGCCTTCACAATACCTTTGAGATTAGTAAGTGCTTTGTGCACAAGAAAATATTGGTTCTTTTCACAAGCCCTAAATTTAATTTTCCATGCCTTCCATCCAATCACGTGTCACGTCTACTTGTTACTTAGCCTTTCAAAATTCTATACTTTTTACTGATTGTGGTGAAATATTTGGGGACAATGAATTTTGTTATGAGTATTAATATTACATAAATGGAACAATTGACACTGAAGTATTTTAGGTCATTCCATTTCAGTTGTGATTGAATCTGTCATAGTTTTTAGCAAATAAATAAAAAGTACAACTTTGCTTTCTCCCTCAGTTTTGTAATGATCAGAAGTTTCACCCATTCCAAAAAGGATGTGGGAGAAAAACCGTCCTCTGACTTAAATTCAAGCAGACAATGAGAACGCGTGGTCTTTAAGTGCACTGCTGGAAAGTAGTTCCCCACATCTGGTGACCATGCTTTTCAGCAGCAGATGACTCCATGGCTTTGCGACCTCTGGTAGTTGTGTTGTGTTGTTTTGTTTTGTTTCCCTTCTACTTTTTTCAACTCTCTGCAAAGCCCCCCAAAATATCTGGAAGGTTACTGCCGAAGACCTGTCTCAATGCTGATATGATCTGTGCTGGTGAAACACAACTAAGGGCCTAAAATTTTGCAGCACAATTTCCTTTTACCTACCCAGGGCCAAAATAAAACCTTTAAAAATTTTTAAGCAACGAAAAAATGATGGTAATAAAAATAAAAATGCTCTGAAGCAAAAAGAACGTAGGAAATAAGTTCCAAAAAAGATCTGATTGTTTTTTTTTCCTGATGTCTACTGTAATACTTTCTTAAAAAATCTTTCAGAAGATTTTTTTGCATGAGTCTCAGCTTTACTGAGACCTCAAAGAGGTACATAGACCAGCTCCTTAATAACTTAGCACTGCACATTGGAGTTACTGTATCATCCTTGGGGTCAAGCATTTTTAATGACGTATGTGCTCAGTGTCACTAGATTTAACAGCTGACCAATGCTATGGTAGAGGCTAGCCAACTGTGCTGCTGAAATTGTTGTATGTAAGCACTCATTCATTTCACTGTCTTCGGCTATGAACTGAAGCACTGACCCCAGTGTTATGCTCAGTGAGGGCCTAGAGATAATTTCCTCAGTCCTGGGAACCTGGCTTCTTGAGCAAGCCATCTTGTAGTCATCTTTGTGATATCTACCTGCCCCTTAGTACCTTTCCATCCTCACAGAAAGAAAAAATGTAGGGGGAAAAAAATCTAAACGCAATGAAAGTGAAGTCATCTCTATTCAAGGGATCATTTATTAGGTAAGCCTTTTTCTTTGTCCACATAGCAAGCATTGAGTTTAGGGCAGCTAGACTTGCAGTACTCAACAATGTGGCCTCATCCACCGTCATCTACTTTCTGTCCTCCTTCCCTGGGAAACTTAGGGTGGTTTTCCAGTTGATCATGATGGGCACAGATATGCCTCCTCCAGGCCACTCTTGTTAGGCCCTCCACCAGCCCATCTCCCTCTCTTCAGAGGAGTCTTGTGCGGTCACTACCTTGCCAGGTAGGTGTGTGTGTCGCTAAAGGGGAGGCCAGGGCTAGCTTTTTATCCCCACCCAGGGGCTTGAGGGGTTTCTGGCACAGCTGCATGCCTTGGCTGAGATCCACACCAGCTCAGAGCTGTCTTCCCCACCTTTGGCTGTGAGCGGCAGCTTCAGGCCTGCAGGCCCTGGAGAAGAGAGATGAGAGGGACAGGCTTAGAACTGGCAGAATTGGCTAAATAGGAAGGGGGGAAAAAAAAAAAGCAGTTTTTGTTTTGGGGGAAGAGGCGGCCGCACTATTTAGGCTCCAAAAAGGACACATGTGCATAGCTCTCCTGGGCCTCAGACAAATACGCCAGATCATCTGGAGAGAATTCTGTTCAGTACCATCTCTTGCCCATTCTCTTTGCCAGCTCCTTCATCTCCTGTTCACTCTGTGTATCTGTGTATCTCTGTTTAAGTGGACTTAGGCTTTGTGCCATGGTTACAGAAGGCAGTTTTGGAGTAAATTTGATGAAAAGATTCTTTACTTCACAAATGTATTCCTAGTAGCCTAAACAATGGGAATACTTTTTAAAATGATTTCTTACAAGTACTTTGGATACCTTAGCTCTATTTTTCAATTTATTTTAATGTAATCTTGTCTTTGTGCATCACTCTGGCTTTGTCATCCTGTCCTTCAGTCTCAATAAAACAAAATTGTAAGTAGGAGGGGAGATTGGGGATGAAGGCAAGTGCCTTTATAGACTGCTACAGAATTTTCCATGCTTCCTCCTTTAGTGAGAGAAGGCGGTTTACCTTAAGGAGTTTGCATTTGGGAAAGAGGTATGTTCTTCGTCTTGGCCAAGCCAGGTGACTGTTGGCCAGGTGGCTGAGCACCCTGAGGTGCCTTGTATGTTCCGTGGGCTTCCAGCTCCTGGTAATCCTGTTGGCAGTAGTACTTAGCGCCTATCCAAAGCATGGGAGGAAGAGGCCATGCCCAGCAGCTAGTTACTTATTTATTAAAGTCCATAATTATCCCTAATTCTCAAATTCCAGCTACTTTCTGGGAAATTCCTAAAAACTTCACTGGTTGATGATACTAGAGATATAGGAAGACTTAGATTGTTGGGTTCATTCTTGCTTTCTGTCTCCTTCAAACTATAACCCAAAGTGCATCATTGAGGTAAAACATACTTGCTTGTGGGGCCCTAGAGCATGGTTTGGGTTCTCTCCTCCTCTCTGACGCCCATTCACATGTAGCTGTTGTTTCACAGCAGTACGTGGGCACGTAAACCAGTGTTCTGGATCATTTTCTGTTGGTTACAAAATCAAAGCAAGATGTGCCTGCATTTCAAAGGCTTTCAACTGTCATGTTAAACATATCTCTGGATCAAGGTCAGGAAGACTGTCCTCTTTTGAACCCAGGCCTAGTACATCTTTGTAACCAAGTTTTTGCCCCCAACCCCACCCTATTATGTTTTTAGTATCTTTACAGAGATAGTCTGAGCTAAACAATAATGATCATTCTTATTTTTATTGACTAAGGAAGATGCCTCATACTCCCATAGGCAGGATTGTATTTTGAATATATGGACACTGTTCTTGCATGCTGGCTGCATTATTAGAGGGGACAGTGGCATTTGCTTTGTGAATATAGAAGCCTTTGCTTCCAGAGATCAGAAACTTCCTTGCAGGTGACTAACTTTTAAAGGCTGAAATTTCTCTTTATTTTGTTTTGATTATCTTTTATGCAGGTAATTCTTGCCATCTCTTTAAGATTGCTCCTTGTCCTAGCATTTGCAGAAATGCTGGGGGGGAAAAAGTAAGAGTGATTGAAGCATATTGGGGAACAGATGGGAAAGAAGTTTGCAGTTGTAGCTTCCCGCTCAGTGTAATC